TCTCTAAGCAAAATCTGTTTGGCGAAAAAGGCCCGAATGAGAAAGACGTTGACTTCAGCAATGACACTGATAATCTCTTCCTTTAAGCATTAAAATTATTTCATACAGTTGCAACATTCTCAATTCAAAGTGTTTTTTCTGGCTTAAACCATAACAACAAGACATGTAAACTCTACATTGCTTTGCAGCCTATTGTTGAAACTACTAAGTCAGGATGCTATCAAAATTATGGATTTATCTAGAAGTTTGGCTGCAGCCCCTTGTCACTACTTACTCTTCTGCATCTGCTGTTGCTTTCCTCCTGTGTTTGCCTTCTCAAAATCAGACTCCAATGTTTATGGAAGATTCTAAGTCATCCAGGTCACAGTTGTCCCAAAGGTGCTCTTCAAAAGGCAATTGGACTTTTGTTTGTTTTTTCCTTGAAAATATTTCACTATGCATTCAAGAAGCTTTGGGACATCAGAGTCCAATATTTTCCTCTGCACTCCAATTTTACAATCTCTGCTTTTTAGTGTACAATCAAACTGTTTGGATATTTAACTGTCTATGCTTTTAATTTGATGACATAAAGGTGATTTGTAGAACATAGGACACTCATTAAACTCCCTCCTGATCCTATGATCCTATGATCAAATTTTGGGCACTTAGTAACCGGTCTCCAGTTTTGGCAATTTGCTGTTTCCTATGGTCATGTGAGTATGATTTTATGACATTTTTGACCAGAAACCAGTGTTTATGTCCATTGCAGACCATGAATTTAGTTAATGACCACATTGTTTGCTTAACAGTCATGACATTTGTTTTATGACCACTGCAAAAACATTGTAAACTTGGTCACAGTCACACGGTGACCCACTTAATGACAGGCACAACTTATAGCATAATTCTGGGCTCAATTGTGGTCATAAATCTAGGGTTATCTGTATTACAATATGTGGAGATGGTTACCAGCATCAAATTCTTGGGTGTGCAGCTAACGAGTAGGCTGGCTTGGTCGCTCAACAGTGAGACACTGGTGAAGTGGGCACAGCAGCGCTTGCATTTTCTACATCACATGAGAAAAGCACATCTTCCTTCTCCTATCCTTACCACTTTCTACAGGGGGATGATCAAGAGCATCCTGTCATACAGCATCACAGTCTGGGTTTGGAAGCATCACTGCTTCAGACAGGAAGGTGGTGCAGAGAGTGGTAAGGATGGCCGAAAAGATCATTGGCAGTTCCCTCCCTCCCATCCAGGACATAGCACAGAAGTGTTGCTTGAGCAGGGTCTGTAAGATTATCTGTTTTCCTTGTTACCTTCTGGGAGGAGGCTTCGTGGTATCCATAGCAGAACATCCAGATTCAGCCATAGTTTCATTCCATACAGCATTAACCTTGTGAATGCTAAAGCTTCCTCCTTCCGCTATATATTCAAGATGGACAGTATTTAATATTTATTTGTTATGTATATGTAGGGGTGTGGGTCTATACATATGTTGTATATAGTATGTTTAGGTGTGTGTCTTGTATGTGTTTCACTTGAGAGCGGGCAACTAAATTTCATTTTAATGTGTGCCATTGTGCACGCAGTAAAAAAAAATGACAATAAAGGTTATCTTATCTTATCACATTAAAATCCTCTGATGTTATTAATAGAATATAAATTTGTGTTCTTTTACTGACTCATTTCTTCTTGTTTAGTTTTAGTATTGTTGTTATATGTTAGTTTTTCTCTACTTCAATAATGCAACTGTCAGTGGGACTAAGAAATGGATCTACTTTCTTGGTTGTGAAAGGGTCATTGCATGTGTGCTGAAAAATGAAGAATATATTGATGGAATAGAAGAGGGAAAAGTTTCTTTTCTGTATTAATAGTGAAATGCTAATGTATTTATTGGAGGTCAAATTATTTTGAAAACAACAACAACAAATAGATTAAAGAATAATTAACTCTTTAAATCCCCCCATCTCCTGAACAACATAAATCCTTGATTTCTATTAAATTTGAATTTCAGAAGCACTGTGCTTCTGAAATAGAATTTTAATTGCTCAGATAATGATATTGGAATGGGAGAAAAAGCAATAACATTAAGCAAAAAAATATTGGGTCTTCCATTCTGGACACTGAAGGAAAATTATGTACATCTAGTAAAGTTCATCAACAGTTTTTAAATGTTATTCTAATTAAATAATTCTAGTTCATAAGTAGAGGCTGAGTTTTTTAAACAGAAGATGAGATTATTGTAGTTATCACAAAACCAAGCAATTACTTTATCTTTCTCATTTCAAGAAATTGTCATCTCTGTGAAACCAGAAAGAGCTCCTGATTGATTTTGTTGATTGATATGAATGAATAGATGATAGATAGATAGATAGATAGATAGATAGATAGATAGATAGATAGATAGATAGATAGATAGATAGATAGATAGATAGATAATCCATCTATTTCTCCATCTCTATATTACTAATCCTACCCTACACCTGCCCAAGATCCACTGGAAAAAAACTGATCTAGGATCTGGAGATAGAAAAGCTAAAATATATAATAGTAGTAGTAGTAGTAGTAGTAGTAATAGTAGTAGTAGTAGTAGTAGTAGTAGTAGTAGTAAAGTTGGAAGGGACCTTGGAGGTCATCTAGTCCAACCTCTGCTCAGGCAGGAAACCCTATACCATTTCAGACAAATGGCTGTCCAATCTCTTCTTAAAGAGAACTGAGAACTGAGTTTACTGAACTGTGCACTGCCAACTTCACCCTATGTGTTGCCTTTATTTATTTTTAATTAGAGAGGAATGGTATTTTTATATATTTAATTAATCCAGATGATGGATGTGGTTTTATGCAGGCATGGTGAGACTTATCCGTGCTGCTATAAATTTGTCATCCCCTATTTAAGGCTACTGCATTCCTGCAACAGTATTATGTGACATATCGCACCCGCTAGTAGGGAAGCAGCAGCTGTTTCAATTCACTGATAGCTTGCATTGAAAACGGGCAAGAATTCTGGGCCAAGCATAACACTTTTATGGCAGTTCTATCTTATCCAATTGGGTATAAATGTCAGTGAGCAAATTTCTTGCAAATCTACTTCAGTGAGACACATATTAAGCCTCAGATATTTTCACATACATGTGAAACCAACAGAAAGTCTACAGCACAAACATTTTTTAAGAAACGTGGTTTCAAAGGGACATGGCAGTCTAAAACATAAAACGTTACCTGAAACAAGAAGGGCTATCATTATTCTTGTTTTTACTTGAGTTTAATACCTTCTGAACAACAATAAAAAAAAATCCAGTGCCTTTAGCCACTGGACTTGGCAGCCTGTAGCTACAAAAAGGTAGTCATGATATATCTAAGACAGCGTTCTATTGTTCAGTGGCAGCTGAATCATAACATGTAACTTCCTCCCATTTCTGGTCTTGTGTTGAGAATCTTCTATAATGGCTAATTATACACCCATCATGTTTAGTAAACATTGCGAACTTTCTCCATAGTTTATTAATTTCCTTTTAAAACCATCCAAGCATGTCATTATTACACCATAGCTTAGCTATGGAGTTAAATCCAACACTTCTGTTCGTGTTATGAAATTTCTACCATTCAACTTCATTGGATGATTGTCTAATTTAATAATGAAATACCCAGGATCAGATGTATTTTTTCCTAAATATTTCCACAGAATGGAATGGAATAAGAAGAATAGAATAGAGTAGAATAGAATAGAATAGAATAGAATGGAATGGAATGGAATGGAATGGAATGGAGTGGAGTGGAGTGGAGAGTAGAGTAGAGTAGAGTAGAGTAGAGTAGAGTAGAATATTCTTTATTGGGCAAATGTGATTGGACCATAAAGAATTTGTCTCTGGTTTGTAAGCTCTCAGCGTACATACAAGCAAGAAAGTAATAAATCATAGATCATAGATCATAAATCATAAGGTACAATAATAAATCACAAGGTACAAACCACAAGTCATAAATCATAACATATCAATAGGAGAAGGTAGTAGGAAAGATGAGAAAGATGAGAAGATGAGAAAGATGAGAAGGTGAGAAGGATAATAGCAATAGCATTAGTAATAGCCCTACTACATGGGAAATCTTTAGGCCTAAGACAGTGCTGTGGGAATTAGGTGTTTAGCAGAGAGAAGACATGGGGGGGGGGGAGACTATCTTTGTGTCTAGTTGTTTTGGCATACAATGCCCTATAGTGATATCCTGAGGGGAGAAGTTGAAACAATTTATGTCCAGGATGTGAGAGGTCTGTAGATATTTTCTCATCCCTCTTTCTGATTTGTGCAATATACAGACTCTCAATGGAAGGCAGGCTGGTTGCAATAGTTTTTTCTGCAGTCCTAATTATCTGTTGAAGTCTATACCTGCCTGTTTGGTTGCTGTGCCAAACCAGACAGTTATAGAGGTGCAAACGACAGATTCAATAATTCTCTATAGAAGTACATCAGCAGATCTTGGGCAATCTGAGCTTTCTGAGTTGACTCAGGAAGAACATTCTTTGTTGTGCCTTTTTAATGATGGTTCTAATGTTAGGTGTCCATTTCAAGTTGTGTAAGATTATAGAACCCAGAAACCTGAAGGTCTCTACTGCTGATACTGTGTTGTCTAATGTTGTAAGAAGACTAGAAGAGCTTTTCCTAAAATCTACTATCATCTCTACAGTTTTAAGAGTGGAGTGTTCAGCTATAGATTGTTTCGGCTGCACCACAGGGCCAGTTGTTCTACCTACCTCCTGTCTGTATGCAGACTCATCATGATCTTGAATGAGACTAATGACTGTTCTATCATCTGCAAATTTCAGTCCTTTAACAGAGGGATCCTTAGAGATGCAGTTATTGGTACATAGAGAAAAGGTAATGGAGAGCGCACACAGTAATGGAGAGAGTAATGGAAACAGCACACAGCTCCTGTGTTAATTGAACAGGTATTCAATGTGATTTTTCCCTAGCTTCACCTGCTGTTTTCTATCTGTTAGAAAGCTTATAATCCATCTAAAAGTGTACTCAGGCACAGCAGCTGAGTCAGTTTAGAGAGAAGGATTTCTGGAATGATGGTCTGAAGAGAGCTGAAGTCTACAAAAAGGGCCCTTGCATAGGTCTTTGGGGATTCAAGATGTTGCAAGATGTACTGCAGTGCCATATTGACAGCATCATCTGCTGATCTATTTGCGCAGTAGGCAAAGATGTCTAGCAGCGGATCTGTGATGGTTTTCAGGTGGGCCAGCACTAACCTTTTGAAGGTTTTCATTACTACATATGTCAGAGCAACTGGTCTGTAGTCATTCAGCTCCTTGATGGAGGGTTTCTTGGATACCAGGATGATAGCAGAGCATTTGAAGCAAGAAGGGACATAACACATCTTCAATGATTTATTGAAGATGCGGGTGAAGATGGGGACCAGTTGATCAGCACAGATTTTCAAGGAACTTCTTAATAATTTAGCTGATCCCTTTTCCCATAAATCAGAGAAATTTGGAAAATGCATGAGATAGCAGAGGTCTGAGGAGAACAGATGCTGTCCATATCTTGACCTGGAAGATATGTACAGACAGATATTTGGAATCCATATGATGAGCTACAGCACCAGATGTATTTCTACTCCTAATAAATCAGATGTTTATGACAAGCTCAAGTTCATAAGAAAGCTTCATCATACCTTTCTCTAAAATGGTATGCAACCCTAACTGGCTCCCCATCATGCTTCCTTTTATTTATAGGGGATAAAAATATACCCTTATTTGTTTGAATAACCCTGATCTCTCCTCAACACAGGTATGTGGATTGGGACATGTTTTGGATCTCAGAAAGAAGCTCAGATGTCTTTCATTGCCCTCGGTAGTCATTCCATGAACAACTGCTTATTTATCCAAACTGTCCCCCAGAAACTAAGAAAAGTCACGCTCATAGTTGAGGGAATTGCATGCCTCACCATAAAACACTCAGTTCAGACCCCCCTAGAGATGCTGATCTCAGCTTGGTGTAACATCAGAAGGAGATTCATTTAGCACAATTTTTTCACATATGCTCCAGCCCCCAAGCTAATTTGCCTTTAAGCAATGTATTTTGGTCAGATATGAACAATGTCTAAAAGGTGGATGATACCCTCCAGGGACAAGTTAGCGTTATAAATGAGTCACAAAGTCTATGGAGATTCTCAATCATCCAGGTTATGGCTTGTCCCAAAGGTCTTGTTTTTTCCAAAAGGCAACTGGACTTTCTTGGGGTTTTTTTTCCTTTGAAAATGTTTTGCTTATTGGATGAGAAGTTAAATGTTTCAAAGGGGGGGGGAAATGAGAAAGTTCACTTGCCTTTTGGAAAAAGCATGTTTGGGAATCTCAAAGTCAGTAAATGAAAAAAGTGACTCTTGGGACTCAGCTTTATTGTTGTTTTTGGCTTGATTAATTGACTACATGCCATCTAGTTCCTGTCAGCTCTTAGTGACTACGTACATAAATTGGAAGGTTTTAGTAATAGATAAAACCATTCACATGTAATTATTTATACAATATTAAATACTCTTTTTATTATGTTTCTTTTTCACATTGTTTAGTATATTCTCTAAGAGCCAGTTTAAAATACCAGGCTAGAAACTAGGAGACTGTGAATTCTAGTTCCTCTGTATGGACTAAACTAGCTGGATGACATTGGGCCTGTCACTATCTCTGGGCCCTAAGAGGCAATGGCAAAACACTTTTGAAAATGTTGTCAAAATATTGCAGGGGCTTGTCCAGGCAGTAACCAAATGCCAAAATCTGATACAAAGGAACCCTCCCCTCAAAAGTATATTTTCCAATATTACAGGTTATTGTTTTGCCTTTTCACATAGTGTAAATCATAAACAGTTTCTTAAATCTTTTGAATGGTGGTTTGTTAATTTTTACAATAAATAGGTAATAGTTAAGACTGCCTGCCTGCCTATTTATAATGCTTGATCTGTGCATGCATCCAGCCACCTATTCTCTCTCTCTCTCTGGCTCATTCTCAATGAATATCATCAAGAATGAAACAGGTTCTAAATTATTTAACAATTAAAAAAATCTGGCAAAAGAAGCTGCATCTAAAATTTAGTTATGTGCATTTGCATTGATAATACTTTTAGGATGGCTTCACCTTCCACCTTGTAGTAGCTGCTTCAGTTGTCATCCTCCCCCAGGGTGGACTGCCACGATGTTTTGAAGGGAAAAGTATCAAAACTGTTAACTGCATGATAGAAAAAGGAATTGGTTCATCAGCCCAGCTTGCTGTAGAGCCTGATGCCAATTTGGGATTGAGAGGGAGTGATTGGACCACATCACACAATTGGATGCTGTGCCTAAGGGGTCTATCCATTCCCATTCAGGCACCTTAACCACTACACCATGCTGTCTCTCCAATGAGTAAATAAGTAAAGTACAGGTCAAGATGACAATTATTTATCCGTACAGTCATCAGGTATCAACCTGGCTCAGTGGCACCCAATTAACTAGAAGTTGTGTGATGTTGCTGATGGATTTGCCATCTTATGCTTCTTTCTTTTGTTGTAGTTTGTGTTTTTATTGTTGTTTCCTAGTCTATGGTTTTTATATTCTCTGGTGTATTGAGTTGTCATTTGGAGTTGAGCAGCTATCAAATTCAGAAAATGAATAAACCAGTAAAATAACTTTTCAAGTGAAAAAAATCCAGTCTCAAATTTACCATTCTCAGAACCACAAACAAAACAAAAAGTACAGGAAGATTGCAGTTAATTCCATGCACACAATCTTTTTTTGTTTTGCTTTTGGTGTGTTCTGTAAATATAATACAAATATAATTATTTGTATTTATATAAATATAGATACAGATTTATATTTAAAATATTTGTGAATATAATTTTAAAAATTCAATCCCATGTTTTTTTTTATCCAGAGGTATAGAACTAATGCAAAAAACCCAACAACAATCACTTCTGATCATGCTGCCAATTTCTTGTTCCTTGTCCTCTTCCTTTTTTAAAAAATAATATACTTTATTGAATTTCTATAAAAATTATAAAAAAACAAGAAAAAAATTAGGGAAGGATTTTTTTTAAAGGGTAACTACCAATTTCTTGTCCTAAAATGTTTATTTTAACAACTACTTAGAAGCTGTGATACATGTCATAAATCAGAGAAGTCCTGGCACAGTCAGCTACTGTCGGTTATAAAGTATTACCATCTGACCTCATTGCTTTCGGTATCAGTTTTCAGCAAAAGCACAAGCCCAATCTTGTTTCCTGATTTTATTTGTGTGACGAATTAGAAATTCATGGGCCACTCTTTTGTAGCTGAACCTGTAGTAAAGAAGATGCCAACTTTGGACCATTCTCCCAAACTGGAAATAAACTTTAGATGCCTTTCAGGCCACTATCTCATCCATTTCCAAATCTTTGCAATGCAACTTTAAATGAAATTGGAACATTTTAGTTTTTATCTGTTTTGATCAATATTTATAGCACCGTATTGATGACTGTATCTATTTGTGTATGCCTAGAGCCCTAGGTATCTGTGAGCGCAGGAAAACACTGTCAGTTGCAATTATCTAGTTCACTTCATTTCCCCGATAATATCATGGTGTGTGGGATGTTGTCATGGCTTGTTACCAGATAACTATGTCCAGAGATTGTAAAGTATATAAATTTCTACTCACTTTTTTAGGGGCATCAGGTTGGTTAATAACTTTTCCAATGCGTCTGTGTTTGCATGATTTAACAAAAATGCCTTCCAACAATTCTGCAGAAAAAGACCATAAAAAATAACTTGCTGATATCATAACCATGTAAAAAGAGATGTGTCTTTCCACATTCATAGCCAACATCTTAACTATGAACATCTTAACATACGGGGAACGGTTGCAGAAATTGAGTATGGCCAGTCTAGAGAAAAGAAGGACTCGGGGTGACATGATAGCAGTATTCCAGTATCTGAGGGGCTGTCACAAAAAAGAGAGGGTCAACTTATTTTCCAAGCACCAGAAGGCAAGACAAGAAACAATGGTAAAATCAACCATAAAATCTGAGAGCATGCTTGGTCTACTGTTTAGGACGATAGGCTAGAAAGCGGGAGATCATGAGTTCAAATCCTGCCTTAGCCATGAAAATTAGCTGGACGATCTTGGGTCAGTCACTCTCTCTCAGCCCAACTCACCTCATAGGATTGTGGTTGTGAAGAAAATAGGAGGAGGAAAGTGTGTTGGATATGTTCACTGCCTTGAGTTATTCGTAAGAATAATAAAGACAAAATACAAGTAGTCCTCAACTTACGACCACAAATTGATCCCGAAATTTCTGCTGTTAAGTGAGACATTTGTTAAGTAAGTTTTGCCCCATTTTACAACTTTTCTTGCCACAGTTGTTAAGTGAATCACTGCAGTTGATAAGTTAGTAACCTGGTTGTTAAGTGAATCTGGCTTCCCCATTGACTTTGCTTGTCAGAAGGTTGTAAAAGGGGATCATGTGACCCCGGGACACAGCAATGGTCATAAATAGGAACCAGTTGCCAGGCGTCTGGATTTGGATCATGTGATCCTGGGAAATGCTGCAAAGGTCGTAAGTCACATTTTTCAGTGCTGTTGTAATTTTGAACGGTCACTAAACAAACTGTTGTAAGTTAAGGACTACCTGAATATTAAATAAATAAATAGGTCATGATTCCTTTAAAAATTGTTTGGCTTAGCAAAGGAAATTCTGGTCCCAATTGTCATAAGTCAAGGACTACCTATAAAAACAAAAATGTGTTACTTTTTAATTACTAAGCCCTGTCTGCATTTGTACAGCGTTGCATTATATCAAAGCAAAAACCCCTCTTTTCTGCTGCATCTGTCTGCTTTCAGCAGGGTATTACCTTATTAATACCACTGTAATCTGTTGACAATCCTCCTAAAGTATCAGGAGATACCAGCAAGCGTTTCCTTATTTAAAGAGGGGCATGGCAATGGTGATGACATATGTCTAAATTCTACCCAGAATCCAGGTAAGCTAGGAAAACGTCCGTAACTGTCGATTATACAAATTGTAATGCTTATAGACTGTAAAGGAATAGAAATATAAAACCACATTTTTGTTTACAGTTCAATGTAGTGAAAAACCTATACTTCCCAATGTAAAACTCTGTGGTTCTTCAACACATTTTTCATTTATTTTAATTAAATTACATCTTATGGAATGTTAATGCCATGCAAAAAAAAAAAAAGAGAGAGAAGAAGGGTTTTTTTAGAATCTTCCCTAGTCCAATTATGATATTATATGACTTTGTGAGACAGGTGTGGGTTATTTTAAATTAAAAAGAAAAAAGAAATATGACAGGACAATAATTAATTTTAATGGTGTTTTGTCATAATTCCTGTAGTAATTGCTGTCTCATGTCA